GGTCGAGTACTTCCCCCTTCGAATCTCCAGTGCTATTTGTACCGAAGAAGGGGGGTACATTGAGGATGTGCATTGATTACAGAGGCCTCAATGCCATCACAGTGAAAAACGCAGAGCCTCTACCTCACATAGACGACCTATTGGATAGGGTGCAGGGATGTAAGTACTATAGCAAGATGGACTTGAAGTCCGGTTACCATCAGATTGCTATAAGACCTGAGGATCAACACAAGACTGCTTTTCAGACCCGATACGGTCTGTATGAGTTTGTAGTGATGCCCTTTGGCCTTTGCGATGCGCCAGGTACATTCCAGCACTCCATGAATAGGATCTTCCATGACTACTTAGATAAGTTTGTCGTCGTGTACGTTGACGATATTCGTATCCTTAGTAAGTCTGTCGAGGAGCATACACAGCACGTTGAGACTGTACTTTCACTCTTGCGACAACACAAGTATAAGGTCAACCTAGAGAAATGTGAGTTTGGACGCACTAGGATCTTGTACTTGGGTCATGAAGTATCCGCGGAAGGGATTAGGCCGGAAGATGCGAAGGTGGCTAGTATCAGGGACTGGCCACGACCTCAGACTATTACTGAGGTCAGATCTTTCTTAGGGATGTGCGGCTACTATAGGAACTTTGTGAAGAACTATTCCACAACCACCTCTCCTTTGGCTGATCTAACTCGACTTGACACGCCTTGGGACTGGAATGATGAGTGCGAGGCTGCTTTCAAACGATTGAAGCATGCACTCATGAATCATGAGGTTCTCATGGTGCCCGATCCTCAGAAGCCGTTCATTGTGACCACTGACGCAAGCCAATACGGCATTGGCGCAGTGCTGGCTCAACAGGATGGGAAGAAGTTGAGACCGATTGAGTATATGAGCAAAAAAATTGCCATCAAAGAAACTGGCAAAGTCCACCTATGAAAGGGAACTCTATGCTCTCTACAAGGCACTTGTCCATTGGAGACACTTTCTGCTGGGACGGTTCTTCTATTTGAGAACTGACCATCAGACCCTTAAATGGATCAAGACTCAACCGGCTCTTTTTGATGCACTCAAGCGCTGGATTGAGGTCATAGATCAGTATGACTTCGAGCTAGAGTATCTGAAGGGAGAGTATAACAAGGTTGCAGATGCGCTGTCACGTAGGGCAGACTACCTAGGGGCGATAGTTTCTGAGTTTGGTGTATTTGAGGAAGTAACTCAATCGTTGGTGGGAGCCTATCACGAAGACGCTATCACGATGGACATCATACGCAAACTTAGGCAAAAGATAAGGGCACAAAAGATGAGTTTGTGATGGTGGACGGGTTACTCTTTCTTGATAAGGCCGGGTGTAAAAGATTAGTGGTTCCATCTAGAGAAAGTTTGCGCAGTTTATTTTTAGGAGAATGTCATGACGCAATTGGACACTTTGGCTACAAAAAAACAAGTGTCAATCTAGTACAACGTTTTTGGTGGCCCGGAATGCTAGATGATGCAAAGAAGTATGTGGAGACCTGTCAGGTCTGTCAGCGGGACAAGCCGCGAACTCAAGTACCACTTGGGTTGTTGAAGCCCTTACCTATCCCCTCTGGTCCGGAACAAAGTGTTTCCATGGATTTCATGGACACCCTGGTGACCAGGAGGAGTGGCAAGAGACACATCTTTGTCATCATAGACCGATTCACCAAGTACGCTAGACTAACAGCCATGCCAGATACCGCAAGGACTGGACACGTCATCAAGTTGTTTATGGACAACTGGGTGCGTGATTTTAGACTGCCAAAACTTCAGATGACTCCCGGGAATCATCCCGAAGCCAACGGACAAGCCGAGAAGAAGAACAGAGTTGTACAACACCTGCTGAGGCATTACATCAAGCCTAGCGAGGATGACTGGGATGAGAAATTGCCTCTCATCGCCAGCCCGTACAACAATGTTGTACACAGCAGTACCGACGTCAGTCCTAACCAGCTGCACTTGGGATGGAAGCCTAGATCAGCTTTGGACTTCCTCCTACCAGAAAACCGACCGTCTGCAACTCCGGGCACACTTGAATATGGTGTGCAGTATGAGAAGTTGCTACAGCAAGCTGTCGAGCACATCAAGAAATCTCAGCAAGCCATGATTGCTTCTGAGAACAAACACCGTCGACAGTCCTCATTTCAGGTAGGGGAACGTGTCTGGGTCAAGGCTAGTGAGCTAGGACAGGAATTCGGAATATCTCGAAAACTAATGCCTCAGTATTTTGGTCCCTGGGAAGTCTTGGACATAGTTGGGGATGAGATGATGGTCCTACCTATGTTATCCGTATCCCTGGACACCTGCGCACTCACCCTGTCTTTCATGCCTCAAAGCTTGCACCTTTCGCTGAGACAGATCAATTCCCTTCAAGGAGATCGATGCTGCCCCCAACCATGGATGGCCAAGTGGACATCGACGACATTGTGGATCACAGAGACATGCCTGTTCCAAAGCCACTGGGTCGAGGAAGACCTCCCAAACCCAAGAGAGAATATTGCGTCAGATTCAGGCATCATACGGATCCCAAAGAAGATCGATGGTTCACCAGAGAGGAACTGATTGACACAGCTCCTCAAGTGGTGCCAGAATATGAGAGGAAGTTAGCATCTCAGCAGACTTTCGAAGCTAAGGGGGATGGAATGTGAGGATTGAGCCCTCGAAGGGGCCTTGCCGTGATGTACATGTTTTGGGCTAAGGCCCCCAACAAGCCTAGTGCCCACCCTAAGTGAAGGCGGGCCAGCAAATCAACGAGAGGCCTTTTTGCAACATTTCACGAAGTGGGGTCCAGACAGTTGCCGCACACCAGTTGGTTGGAGTGCACCGAGTACCAGATCCCTGCAAATGCAGAAGGACCAGGGCCTCAGAATTAGTTAGGCCCTGGGCGCATAAACGTGAGGCTGACATTGCATGCAGGACATAGAGGCCGAAAATGCCAGTGGGAAACCGGCCCACTATCTGAATCTGGACAAAGGCCTTGATGAAAGAGGCACAATTGTACGACCTGGGCCCTTATCTGCATTGGGTCTGGGCACAACTACCGGGACCCAGGCACAAGCTGAAACGAGGCCACCCTCGCATTGCTGGGCATATAGGCAGAGCATGCGGCTGGGTGAAGGATCTTGGCCAATGCAGGCATTGCGGGCACGCTGCTGCATTGTAGCGCTAGCACTTGCGCTGCGCAGTGGCTGAGAGAGGCAGGCTGGCGCTAAGCGGTAGAGCGCAGCCTGGGC